TGGTTTGAAGCGTGACGGCTACCCGAAAAAGAGGGTGGTTTTTAACCTTTTTAACCGCATACAAATATGCCTGCTATGTACATACATATTGTATGTATGCATCTACATATGTACCTTGCAATACCGACTCCTTTACAACAAAAATTACTACACATGTATATTAGTTATTATCCTTATCACTGGACGCATCGCACGCATCAACCCGAAATAAACGTTGCCAAAAGTAACCGTCAATTGTGACTTAAGTGAAAAAAGCGTACAATTTTGTACACTTTTCGGTGACTTTGCTATAATTAACAAGCTCCTTAGGCAAATTTATTTATATAACCAAATAATGGTGGCGCTGTTGGGGTTTCGGTGCTGGGCGACTTGCGGGCTAATTTGAGCTGTTGAGTGACTAATTTAGATGGACGCTTAATTTGAGGAATGAATTTTTTTTAATTTTTTTATTTGCAAGGCGGTTTTTCACGTACATATGTACACTAAAGTAAGTAATAAGCATTAGAAAAGAAATAGGGGCATCAGCCACTTAACATTAGTCGATGGTCCTCTGCATTAATAACACAGTTCAAAATTCAAAAAATAAAAGCTGTTATTACTGTTTAGTGGCTCTTGTCTCAAATCCTTTTCTAATCCATTTACACCCCTTACTAAAGTAAGTAGCAAGGATTGCTAAAGTAAGAACAAACGATTAGACATGGGCTCGACAAGGATTCGAGACATGAGCCACTTAACAGTAGTAACTGTTTTTATTTTTAGAAATTTGAATTGTGTCGTTATTGCACAGGACCATCGATATGCTGCCATATGTTTTATGCATTAAAATTGACACACTGTATAGCATACACATGTTTGCAGTAGATGCTATAATTATTTTGATTTATTAGTCATAACTTGTCACTAGTATTTACTGTGGGATATCTTAACAATAATAAAGTCACATGCTGGCTGCGCCATTACTGCATTAATTTCATTGTTAGGCGTATTTTTTCTTTTTTATAATTAGGTATTAGTATTTATTGGAGCGGTTAGATGCACATATGTATGAAAAAATATGTTTGTACATGCCGACAACAAAAACGTAAAAAAGGGAGGGTAATCATTACACTGTACAGCACTTGGCTGGGTCATAATTAAAAAAGTAATCAAACCCTCTTCTTATTCTGATATGCATATTTTTATACCTTGTATATAAAAATTTTAGAAAAAACATTTAAAAGCAAAAATACCTTTTTTTATAAAAAAAAAAATATATTTTAAACAAAAAAATTAGTAATTAGTAATACAACTGAATACTTTATTTAAATAAAACTGTAAATTACCTTTAATTTTATATATATGTATGTAACTTATTATGTAAAAAATCAAGGCACATGGTCTTCTTATATTTTTCTATGCCATCGATTTCTGTTACATATACAGTGAACCAAATAAAAACTGAGACGCGACATTTTAGAAAGTCTTGGCTATTTTTCTTTAGTTTATTTAATGTTTATTATATAGTTTGTATAGCTGATTACTTAACAAACAGCATATAGTAAATCCAAATTTCAGTCTTTATGAAAATTCTACAATGTTTGACCAAAACTTTTAACATTTTATTTGCATATTAGACATCATTTTGGTATGCAGTTTTGTAGCCCATTAAATTTTACTATAAGAAAGTGCAAGTTTGAAGTACCTTTGACTTACCGTTGATTTTTGGCAATTTTTTTGTTGACGGTGTTCCGCATTTTTTTCCATGCAAAGTATGTTCGACAATTTTTTTTTTATATGGAAGAAGGTGTATGTTTATAGTGATATTCAACAATTAGAGTTATATTTAACAAACTTCTTTTTATATTATTGCACAAAAAAAAAAAGTTCGATTGCAGTTTGACTTCATAGTCTTGAGCGGCCATTTTTTAATCCAAGAGAACTATTATCAATTTTTTTTCAACATCTGATGCGATTGATTTGATAAAAACACCATGTGTTTTGATTTTTTACATAACAAGTCATACATAAAATTAAAGGAAAATTTCTATTTTATTTAAATAAAGTATTCAATAATATTACCAATGAGAATTTTTTTATTTAAATCACTTTTTTATAGAAAAAATTGGTATTTTTTACTTTTGAGTATTTTTCTCAAATTTTTATATTCGAGGTTTAAAAATATGCAAATCTGAAGAAAACCCCCAATCAGGTCAAAATTTTTTAAATATAGATACGGTTTTTAATTTTTCGATGATCTGACCTTTGACCCCTTATAACACCTGCAATAATAGTTTGCACAAAAAAAAAGTTGTATACCGTTTAAATAAGAGCAAAATTATGAATACGTCTATATTTTTACTTTTTTAGTTGTTTACATCCAATTATTAAAAATAAGTTTTTACCAAAGGTCTTACTTCGAACTTCGATGGCCCCTTTCTCGATTTCGAAGGTTAACTTCGAAAAACGGAGAAATTACTTAATTACTTATGACCTAATCTCTTAAAAAAATGGTTTGGTGCAATACGCAGAAAAAAATTTGATTTTGTCGTGTCGTGTTGTTAGTAAAATAATTTAAAGCTGCTTTAATCAATATTTTTTCGCTTAAAACAATAACTATTATTGAGTTTTATTTTTTCGCAGATATAAAATTATTTATAAAATTTAGAAGGTCATAAAGACTGCAATTTTGACCAAAAAATGTTGGGACTTTTTCGTTTTATTCGGCTATCGCTGCTTCTGAAAAGGATACGTCAGAAATTATGCTGGTATAGCTTTTGAGTTTTTTGAACGATCATTATTCTTAAGTGAAAAAATGTGTATTCGCGTATTTTTTCAGCAGAAAACTGTCAGCAGCAAAATTCTCATGAATTTTTATCTGTTCTCTCTCAAAGAGAGAAATGTTAGCAAAAGTACGCGAACGCAAAACCAGCAAAAACTTGCAAGTTTTTAGTACAACTGATCGAAATTTTGTTTACATGCAAAAGCATAAAACAGAAAACATGAAATGAATATAAATTTAAAGTTTTCCTAAAGCAATTTGCTAATCAAACATGCGTAAATGAGTATTTGCTTTCTTCCGATACATTTGCAGTTCTAATAAGTTATTTCAAACTTAAAAAATCTTAATAATATCTACATCTAAAATAAATTTCCATATTTTCATAAATTGAAAACCGATTACTTTGATCAGCTGTTTTTCTNCTAATAAGTTATTTCAAACTTAAAAAATCTTAATAATATCTACATCTAAATAAATTTCCATATTTTCATAAATTGAAAACAGATTACTTTGATCAGCTGTTTTTCGTGCTGGCAAAAATTTTTCCAGCAGAAACTAGCAGCTTTTCATTAGAATGAAATGTCAATTTGGTCTCTCAATTCCCCTACTTTGCTGGATTTTTGTGTACGTGAACACGAAAATCTGATAGATTTTGATAGTTATCAAAAACTATCAATACGCGAATAAACCTAAAATAAAACTTAATAACAATTCTTATCTATGAGCGAAAAAATAAAAATCATAAAATAAATAAAATAATAAATAAATAAAAAAATCATAAAATAATCAATATTTTTGATCAAATAACGTACCTGGTAAAAAAAATCTCCTAAAAAAACAAAAATTTGGTGAAAAATATGGTATCGAACCTTTTANCTTAATAACAATTCTTATCTATGAGCGAAAAAATAAAAATCATAAAATAATCATTATTTTTGATCAAATAACGTACCTGGTAAAAAAAATCTCCTAAAAAAACAAAAATTTGGTGAAAAATATGGTATCGAACCTTTTAAGCATTAATCCCCGATTCTTAAATCCCTAGTTAACGTTCACAACTAGTATATATATATATATATAGTCACACTTCTGATCCAAACGATCGGAGATTTCTAACCAAATAATGTAGTAATANATAATCATTATTTTTGATCAAATAACGTACCTGGTAAAAAAAATCTCCTAAAAAAACAAAAATTTGGTGAAAAATATGGTATCGAACCTTTTAAGCATTAATCCCCGATTCTTAAATCCCTAGTTAACGTTCACAACTAGTACCTTAAAAATATAGTCACATTTCTGATCCAAACGATCGGAGATTTCTAACCAAATAATGTAGTAATGTTAAATTATATCCTTGTTCGTATGCGCATATTAATAAAACTGCAATTATTTTTATGTATTCATTTATTTTATTTTTATAGTATGCAAATGTTCAATTTTGGTTTATCATTTATTAAATATTTCACATTACATAGTTTATTACTTGAATTTACATGAATTTTATAATCTTACAACTTCTTGGTAAAGCCTTTTTTGGCGCTCTTTAACTCTGTGAATTCTCATTTCATTTAATTTTTGCNTATAATCTTACAACTTCTTGGTAAAGCCTTTTTTGGCGCTCTTTAACTCTTTGTGAATTCTCATTTCATTTAATTTTTGCAATGTCTTTTTATTTCGCTTTTGGGGTTTTTGTGTTAGGTTTTCTTTTGGCCAAATGTATATGTACTTATATTAACTATTCCATTTTTCTTTGAATCTATTATATTTTAATTAAAAATTTATCACGCAACTAATGCTAAAATACAACAGCAACGCATCTAAAACTAATTTTTGTTTGTTTATTCAATTTCTAATTATTTTTTTATTTATTATACGCCACCGCTTCTCTACACTACTTTTTATTCAACCTTTTCCATTTTCTTAGTACTCGAAAATACATTTCATGTTAACATGAAAATAAATGCACACAAAACACACTCATATTCTTACATGTGTAGTAGGTTTAATGTTAAATAAATTGGGGTTGCACACGATGTGCTCTTCCTAGTTTTTTGTACATGCATACATACAAATTATTTAGGACTAGTTTATTATGTTTTCGTAGTTTCTTCAATAAACACACTTTGTATAATTTAAAGTAAGGTAGCATTCACAATTTAAATAAAAATATTAACTAAATCATCTTAGTTTCCATTTAACCATTCGCGCAGATGATGGTCCATTTTTTTATTTAATATACCATTGCGATGATTGCTNCAGTACCGGCACCCCAGAGAAACGCTTCCATCCGCACTTTACTCATTATCATCCAAAGATTTGGTAGTTTCTTTGCATATGGCTCCTCCGGACAGATAATACTAAACAGAAACACAAATTGATATAGCGTGGCTTTTTAATTTACAAAATTTTGCGGACTCACTCATCTGGATATGGCGGCCTTGGAAAATTTAACGAATTGCATTCGTATGCAGCAAGTGTTACGCTGGCTATATGTGGTCCCAGATACAACAAAAATGTGTGCAATCCGGTACCCAATCCTACTGAAGAGAGAACACCTAAGCCAGTCCAGTATATGATGAACCATGTATTGCGTCGTATAACGTCCAACACTATCTGGTGTGGGCCAGGCAGGTAACAAATAAAGCTGAGGATCATACCTAAAACTAAGATTGCAGCGAGTAGACCACGTTGTTGAAGTAACCTATAAGGTAAGAATTTACTTAAAATATTAACAAATTTTGAAAACCACAAAACGTACCGCTTGCCATTCGTTTGCACTAGCGTGGCCAACTCCAAGCCACAATATCTCACCGTTTGTACGGGTCGACGCCACAACACAATCCCTTCTCGTTCGGAGCGCTCCTTTTCTTTTTGCAACTTGGATTGTGATTTCTTGCGTATAAGTGACGGAGCAGAGGTGGATGTTGTGATGCTGCCACCAAAAGGCGAAGCGCCGCTACTCGTCCAAGGAGTGCCGCCATTAGACTTTCTGTGCGCAGTAATTGCGTTGCCCGAAGCATTCGGCTTTTGTTTTACACTGTCAGCATTTTGTTGTTGATTTTGCTGCTGCTGCTGCTGTTTGCGATTTCGGCTAGTTGGCGTATCCTTCTTCGAATGTTGTGACATTTAAGATTCGAATATTTCACAGAGGCAGGTGGATCGAAAATGTTGAAAAGTAGTGTTAAGTGTTTAGTTAAGTGATAACACAAAAAAGCGTTGTGAGCAGTAGACAGTAGAGTACTGATGCAGAAAGAATAGTGAGACAGGAAGGGAAAGCAAGCAGCGCTGGAAAAAAAACAGAAAATTCAGATACAAATTAAGATATGTATGTATTTATTTAGTTTGAGCAAATTTAACTAATGTACAGACGAGCATCTTATCTGATTAATAGTCATAATCTTATGCACGTATGAATTACTATCTAAAAACAAACATATGGACAAGAACGTGAATATTTTTTTTGTAGGGGGAAAGATATTTTGTCTAATATGTGATAGATAAACCAATAGTTTCACTACGAGGGATGTACTTTGAACTTTTACTATATTTAAAACGCACTGCCTAGCACCAACGTTGGAAATAACAAAAATCGGGTAGCAATAACAACAAAAGCCAATCATTTAATAAACGACAAAAATATTTTTTATTGACCATAAATTAAAAGGGCGACGGTTGTTGAACTACGGCCAGAACAAATTGCAACAAAATACTGTAAGTGATATCGTAATTCAAGAGCTTCTTATTAAATACATTGAGTACATCACCCGCTGCCGACATATGGATTTCCGTATATACATACATACATATCAGCATTTGGAGATAAAACTAATGACCAATGAATATAAAACTAAGTTTGCTCAACATCAAGAGGTAAAATGATTCATGCGAAGCGAAAAATCAGAATAGCGTGTATCAGACATCCTAGCATTTGTAGCCGTTTTAGCACCACTAGTACTTGCCGGGGTAAAATCAGCCGGAAAATGAGCTTTGAACAGCACCAACGTCAAAGAACTTATTTATGTCCCTACCCTGCGCGTATTTAATTTAAATATATGCCTTGCTTTGCTGGTACATTTTTTGCTACATTGGCTAAAAATTGGTGCTTCAATAAGACAAATGAGGTGCCCTACATGTTGATTGAACTAAATAGTTCACACTAACAAGAGTGACTATGCAAGGCGACAAACCATCGTGTGTGCATGTGACACAATGGTTTGCATATAATGCTTTTTTATTAAGTTTTTTAATAGTAAGCCTAATATATGAATATCGCTCAATATAACATAAAATAATATTTAGTGGCAAAGAGAGGAGAACTAAATAAACAATACAATTGTAAAAGAGATCATCATGCAATACCGGCGCACCAATGAGACGAAACCACATACTATGTATACGTCGAGTGAAGCGAAGCAGCAATACATACTATAAATTGTCAAAACCAAAACGGCCTCGAAATTAACGAACAGCGGCTAACAAATGAGAGGCACTTTTGGGCCGTTAGCACATGTAAGACATGCTACGAATGTATCAAGGCTCATCTATACATGGATGCGCGTTGGAATGTATGTACAAAGACAGAAAATTTGGCGGACGCTCGAAAAATATTTTGCCAATGCCAATTTTAACACGATTTCCTAAGATGTAAACTAATGGCATCCTCACAATCAGCATGCCACACCTTCATAGCAAGATGTATGTATGTATGTATATATTTAAAATTACACCTCTTCCGTTCTACACGATCCGCCCTCGATAATCATTTAGTAAAATGTCTAGCTACGTGCATGCATACATAGGTATCATATCATAGGTACATATAAAACTGCATACATTGCAGCTTGTCGAGCAAGCGTCACCAACAGCAACGTGGTAACAATTTACAATGTTTACTTGCACTTGCTTGCAGATACAGAAAACACGACTTGCAAGAGCTCTTCAGAAAAAGAATGGTGAGCCATACTTAGCGTGACTACGCCAAAGATTATCCTTGGCGGCTTAACAACGGTCTACTTGACTCACCGTAGCTTGCTTTAGTGCATTTTATTACTGCACGAAGGGAGGAAATACACATACCTAAATATAACTTTGTACATATCAGATATAGTTTACGGGTGATCCAACAACTCCGGCATTTGTAAGGTTACAAAACCCAGGGAAAATCAATTTTTCACCCTCGTCGCGCCTGTTTTTAATTCACGATACTTCTCCAATTTAACACGTAATCGAAATCGGTAAAAACTAGTAACCACAAAATATTTAACAACATATATATGCAGATTAATAGTTTTAGGCCACAAACAAACACCCTAATATGTATTTATATTTAAATACAGGAAAACGCTTTCGTG